GTCAAATATTTGAGTCGATTTTCAACCAGCTCACGGTGAATCATTATGTCATTACGTATTAGCAGAAATTTTTTCTCCAAAGACACATCAAGATAGATCAAAGATAAAAATTAATAAGAATAATACAGTATGACCCCTTTAAGTCTGCACATTTTTCATCATTATACAACAATATATTTTCCCATTGCTTGTTTTGGGACATTATACAACAAGACAAATGGCAATTTGAGTTCTAAAAATGCTTAACATTAAAAGAAGTTTTCAAAGTGTGCGTTTAAAAAAGAAAGTTACTGGTCATGTTGTGTTAACCATGACATCATGTGTATGCATAATACATGTTCAGATAATAAACAGAATCAAACACTAGGATCATCTGTGTCTCTACAATGCATTAAGCTGGTCACACTAGATGCATCATGTCCTTACATGGTTGTCTATACGTTATTTAGCAATGCAAGATGATGCTGAATGGTGGCACTGGTGTGTGTACCCTCATAGAAGACAGTTTACAATTCTAAAAGTCATCGCACGTTGTGGCTAGTCTGGTGTGTGACCCCTTTTAGTCAAGAATGTCAGCAGTTTTACTCTGAATTTGGCTTCCGGTATACAGATGCAGTTAGACAGAGCTGGTGGAGCTTGAAAAGCCGAAGCGGTTTCTCTCTCTTTGCGCTTCACCACAAGTGACCAGCAGCAACCTCTATGGCCAGTAGCAAAGCCAATGATTTATCTACAGCCATTGAAATACATTTGATTTTTATCACAGCGACGGGGCTGTGCTTACCTAAATGCCCTTCTCTCTCACCCTCTTTCTGCTCATCCATAAACTGCAGTCATTTCTCCCTTCCCTTTGCCTAGTCTTTATCACCCTCATCTTTCTCTTCCTCCTCTTTACTTATCTTTTCCTTTATCAGCCTTCCATTTCTCTTCCCCCCTCTTTTGCTTTCACCACTTTTTTTTTAATCGATGTGAACATTCTCTGGTTGCTTATCACTCTTCTTTTGTCTCTCTATACATATTTTCTCCTCTCCCCTCATCATCGTGTCTTCTCCATCCTCACTATCTCTATTGTTTCGTTCTGCTGAGAGCTATTTGCTGTCATCTACTGACACAAAAGCCATCTTTCTAACAAATATCTACACATGCCTAATTGGTATGCCTGGTAAATGAGAAGTTCAGGATGAATTAAGTCCTTCATAAGCACAATTTGAACAAGAGCAGTTTTCTAAAATGGGGCTTTTCAAACTTTTGGTGCCACAGACTTAAAATGTAAATGCAGCAATAAAAACTGTGCAAGAAAAGATTCAGTGCAGTATAAAGACAAAAAGCTCATTGTTTTTTATATAGTTGCTGAACTAGAACGTTGGTGTCAGCAAGATCAATATATTTATTCAGCAAAGACACAATCAAATAATAAAGAAGCAAGCATAGGATTATTTCACTATTCTTTCAGTTATAATGTCATAATAATATTAAATGTTTAAAAAGAATGTTTTAATATGCCATCAAATGAATCTTATTCTAAATTTGCCTGAAAACTATTATTTCTATAAATCAATGAAATATATGACTGGAATGTGATTGACACCCCTATTAAAAAATAAATAAAAAAATAAATATAACAAGACATGTAAGCGTTAGATTAGTGGTGAGCCGTTATCGGCGTTGACGTGCTGCATTAATGCAAGACTCTTATCGCGCGATAAAAAGAATTTTGCCGTAATTTATTCTCAAAGTTGGGTTGGGAGCTGGGTCTATTCTACGCTAGCTATGATGACTTTCACCTTGATATTTTAGTGCGGATGTATACCTGACCAGTGAGCCATCTGACAAAAAAGTGCCGTTCTGAATTGAATCAGCAGGATGCCCTTCTGGATCTTTCAGAACTTTGAAGACACTACTGACTAGCTTATATAGACATCTGTAATCTAGTTCTTTACCTTAATAGATAATAATATAATTAAAGGGTTTACGTGAAGTGCTTTCATGTAAGAGTGTCCTGTAATTTTGAGTGACTTTAACTGCAGTTCGGCAGTTTCACTTTAACTCATGAACATTTAATTGATGCTGCTATGACAAACTGGGGTATTAGACACAAATAAGGAGTAAGGACTGGTGAGAGTCTTATGGAATTTAATAACGCACACCAAGTGGAAAGGAAAACAACGGTTGCATTTTGCGATGTGTGTGTGGTTCTTTACTGAAAGCTGTGTGTATGGATCTTGTCAGTAAAGTCCTACATGACAGTAATAGTTTGATCGCGGTGTTTACTTCAGTAATGCCACTCATATCTGCATACTCCGATATTGCATTATTGCAATCTGCATAATTAATTCCATTTCTGTTTAGTTCAGTTATGACTTTAGTCGGATTAAGGTAATAAAAAAATAAAATAAAATAAAAATTTGCCGTTTTGAGCCTATGTAGTCCCGCAGTTCAAAATTCATATTTAACTGAATAAAGAGTTAGTAAACACAAGTACATCTTACTAAACATAATTTATTAACATCACCAATTATCACAGTAGACCAGTTTCTCAAGCAGTTTGTGATGCATTTTGGAAACGGGAGAGGAGCCCTTGCTGCACCACCTGGCAGAAAGCTGTTCTCAAAGACTTACATTTAGTCATTAATTGGGTAGCACACATATTCTGAATGCTTCGGCAGAATTCAAAGAAGCCCTATTAATATAGATTATTCTAGATTATGTCCACCTATACTTTAGATACAGTTTTTAACCCATTAAAACCTCACATATCATATTTGATACACGAGGAAAGAATTTGAAATTGTTTGCCACTGATGAAATGCTACAGGACACTGGGGAACAAATAAAGTGCAGTATATTCAAAGATGGCAAGTCTATAAACAGAGATGCCAAAGAGATTGAGAAAGTCCTAGGCATGTACATGAACATGCACCCTATAAAAGGTCAAGCATGATCCTGATCATTTTCCAACATGGAGAAACCTGACAAAGATAAAAACACTGCAACAGCAATGACTTCTCAATTCTGTGTACAGTGTAAATGTAAAGTGCATCTTTGCCTGAACAAGAACTGAAACTACTAGTACGCCTACCACAAAGTGAAATGATAAAACACTGTAAAATGCTTAAAGTAACAAAAAATAAAGAGATAAACTGCCTGATAGGTTCTCTTTTGCTAAAATATTAAGGGTAAAAATATTTTTTTTGTAATTAAAATTATCATTATTTTGAGCAAAAGGTTGCACAAACGCTTGATGTATCAAATGTGATACAAAATAAATTTCATGAATAATTGTGTGGCTTTTTTTATTTTGCTTAATGGTTTAATAAACATCACAGTTCCAGAAAATTATAATCTTCTGGCTATTTTTTGATATGTCAGGTCTTACAGGGTTTTAACATAGGTCAAATGCAAGAAGCATTTTGAAAAAATATCTAATGATGACATTATTCTTATGCAGATGAGATTCTATTTCTTTGAAAGCTCCAGAGAATTGAAATCACAAAGTAGTGTAAAATATAAATGTACTTATAACCTCCTCAGGGAGAAATACCATCCAAGAGACACATATCCCAACCAAGCTGCTGCTATTGGCAAAATGCACAGACCGCATCTAGTAAACAGGAAACGTCAAGCAAACTCAGAGAGCACTGAGCAGCAGCACAGAGGCATGCCATTGTACTCAATTAAGCCTGGTATGGAATAAAAGGACCGACTAGAAAAGCAAGATATTTAAATAAATTGAAAACAATTAAATTGAAAAAGTGCTATAAGCGGGCGGTTCATTGAGCTGTGGCGACCCCGGATTAATAAAGTGACTAAGCCAACAAGAAAATGAATGAATGAATGAGTGCTATAAGCGTTATAATCAGATAGTTCAACTATCCACTCAGAATATGTGAACCCAGACAACATTGTTCTGGAAAGCTTTTCTCTGAAAGTGATACACTCTGGAGGATGGGTCAATACCAATGAAAGCCAAAGTTCTCTAGGTTACTTCATTTTACATTTGAGAATGTTTCCCTATTATGACACTGAATTTCTTGTTAATATACTTTTAAATCTAAATACTTATCCCATAGGCTTCCATTCATATGCATGTGATTGCAACAGACAGGAAACACAAGCTTGCTCGACAAGTTTTGCATGTCCCTGCATTCCAAAGTTCAAGCTTGGTGAACTCTGACCTGAGAATTTGCATCACATGATTCTGTTAGACCAATAGAAGACCAAAACATGTTTGAAGATCAAAATGAAGTTTTATAAACTAATTTTGAGAGGAGCACATGATATAAATGATTGCTGCTAGTCTTGCATCAATAATCATTGCTAGTTCAAACAGATATCATTGCTAGACCAATCAGATGAATTCTAGCCTCCAACAAATAAGCCCATTCAACCTCCTTCCTTATCTTTCCTCCTTTACCAGGGGGAGCTCTCAAGACCTACCTGATCTTGGACTGACTATCATACTACATGGCCAGGCAGGAGCCCAGGGCTCAAGTATCAGCGAGCTCAGGGTTCTCTTCTGGGACAACATACCAAATCTGCAAATTACTGTATATCAAGCGATAGCTAAATGTGAACTATCAAAATTTAAATTGTGGAGCATTCGCTCATTTTATAAGAGCCACATCATATTGTTTTATCCTACCACTTTTTTGTAGGCATGTTTGCATGTTCAAACTCATGCATTTAAAGAAAAACACACTTTTGCATTTAAAGAGATTTAAACATTTGCATTTAAAGGGACATGCACAAAAACAATAATAGTAGTAGTAAAGCAAATAATAGTAGGTATGGGTAATAATTGTATTTCTCTGAACAAAATGTGAGTGGGTGTAATTGAATCTCAGTGTCAGTGGGCAATGACTGTTGACAGGCTGAGAGGAAGTGACTGTGTGTTTACGAGCTTCATGAGCAAGTGTAAACAAGTACAGACGGATTTCAGAAGCAGTGTACTATACACACATTCAGGTGGCAGAATGGAAAGATTTTGGGCCAGTTGGCCTTACCTTCATCTCCTGATCCCGAACCAGCATCTATAAGAAAATAAAAGGTTATTAGATCAGTATCTAAAGTCTTTATATCATGTTCGCCAATTCACACAGGTTATACATTATATAATTAAATTCTAATAACAATAATAATAAAAATATCATGAAAATAAATACTCAATTATTTTTAAATGTTCCATTATTTAGTTTTTGTTTTATAACTTAATACATACATTAGCATAAATCAATCTTCATGACAAGCAATAAGCTGAGAGACTAAAGCTAAATTGAAATAATTAATTGTGTGAGTCTATTTCTATACTTGAATCTAACTGTTTAATTAAAATAAATATTCTATTTTATAGTGTACACTGTTAGACCTTACCGGGTTTTTTTACAGTAGAACACTGGCAACACTGTTGCCAGCCACTCACTGTAAAAGTTCGGTTACAGTAAGTAACTGGCAACGGTGTTGCCAGTTATTTACTGTAACTGAACCATTACAGTGAGTGGCTGGCAACAGTGTTGCCAGTTATTTACTGTAACTGAACCATTACAGTGAGTGGCTGGCAACAGTGTTGCCAGTTATTTACTGTAACTGAACCATTACAGTGAGTGGCTGGCAACAGTGTTGCCAGTTATTTACTGTAACTGAACCGATACAGTAAGTAGCTGGCAACAGTGTTGCCAGTTAATTACTGTAATAGAGCAGCAGTGGTAACTAACTGGAAACTGTACAGTTAATTACTGTATTGTAGTGTTACAAATCACAGCATTATACTGCATACAAATTAATAGTATGTCATATATAGTTATAGTAGCGTTACTAAAAATAATCAGTATTCTTAGCTGTTATTAAAAAATAGAAGGCATAACATTTTTCAGACAAATTTATTTTATTGTTTTGGTTTGTTTACCAAACAAATAAATAACAGAAAAAGTATAACAAAATTAAGAAATCAGCAGATATAAATATTGTCTTGCATATTACAGGTCTGCACAGTAAGGCTGCGGTCACATTAACGTTTGAGCATGCAAAATTCTGTCATACTGCACTGCGAAGTGGAATTAAACAAAGCGAGTAGTGGAATTAAACAAAAAAATTAGAGATTGAAAAAGCAAGCCAGAGAGGTCATGTTTTGATCTTTGATTGGTCTCTCAAGCAATCACATGATGTAATTTCGCATGTCAGCGTTCTCCAAGCTTGATCTTTCCAATGCTGCGAATTATGAAACTTGTTGCATGAGCTATCATTCCAGGTCTGCAGTACTCACATGCGTATGAATGGAAGTCTATAGGGAGAAAAGTGCAATGTGACCGGGACTTTAAGCTGTAACTCTAATTAAACACACCTGATCAAACTAATTAAGGCTTGTTAGAAATCTACAGGTAATGTTGAAGCAGGGTGGGTACTAAACTCTGCTGCGCTGCAGTTCTCCAGGAACTTGGAGTTTGACCCCCATGGTATATAGCAGGGGTGCTCAATCCTGTTTCTGGATATCTACCTTCCTGCAGATTTCAGTTGCTACCCATATCAAACACACCTGCCTGTAATTATCAAGTGGTGTTCATGTCCTAATTAATTGGTTTAGGTGTGTGTGATATGGATAGCAACTGAAATCTGCAGGAAGGTAGATCAACAAATAAACAGCAAAAAACATATCATAATTATTTTAAAATTTTAAAGTTTTAAATAATTAAAAACTGTGTCAAATCTCAATAAAAAGTTTAAAATAATTATAAAAAATAAAAATAAAGTTGGCAACACTAAAAAACCAAAGGATCCAATCTTTTATTGTTATAATTATCTCATGACAACAAACTTTTTTTATTGTTTGTAATATAAATTCATAAGTGGAAACACTGCTTTGAAAAACACTTAGCAACAAACTCACAACCTGGGACCGGACAGTGGAGCTTTTGTGTGTGGATGGCTATGTGTATCATGTTTTTGTGATTCCCTGTGATAATGTGCAAATGTTCCCTTACTGAGATGATGGAATTTAATTTTGGCTTAGTTGCCAGAAAGATACATACAACTGTTAGCATCTGTACATTATGGCAGTGTGCAATATAAAATAAATACATATTCTTAAACAAAAGTAATATAAGAAGTTATATGAGGAGAGGCTAACTAGCTAACAATGTAGCTTTCAAGTACACAGTTCAAGATAACAACAATATAACTTAAAACACAGCCTTATTTTAGAAACCCTCAAAAACATTTGAACACATTTTACTTACTCATTGTAGATTCTTATTTAAAGCCTAATACATATCAGACTCTACATCTGAATTGATGGAAAGAGAATAGAGCACACTCAGCAGTAAACAAATCAAACACCTGGCTCCCTTAAAGGGCCAGCATTTTCTGAAAACTCTTTCTAACACCTTTGTGTTTAGAACAAGACAGACAGCCTGTGGGAGTGTGTGGTGATGCCTAAATCATTATTTTCTGCCTTTAAAATGCAAGTCTCTATAAATAGCAACATAAACCGTCAGAGAAGATGGGACAGTAATGGTTGAACATTTGCTATTTATTGTCAGTTACTTTCTGTAATGAGTACATAAAGTAAATTACTGGAATTTATTCTTTGCACTACACAATTTCATACAAAGTCTACTCCTTTTACAGGAAAATAATATGTGTTAATAAATAATAAATGTTTCCTTTTACTACAGCAAAACACTGGCTATTTTACAGTTCTTTACTGCACAATCTACAGAGTAACAGTGCAGTTATACTAATTAAACACACCTGATCAAACAAAATCTAAAGGTAATGTGTTGAAGCAGGGCTGGAACTAAATTCTGCTGGGCTGCAGCCCTTCAGGAGTTTGACATCCCGTGTACCTAGCATATTTTCAAAGGAATTGCCTACATTTATCACAATCATGCACATATCATTGAGTAAAAACAATAAAAATATAAAAACTTTATCCAAAGCAAACAAATAAATAATCTGATCCTCATGTTGTTCCAAACCTGTAGTAATAATAATAATAAAAAAAACAAATAACCTGATTAATACATTTATTTAGGAAAGTATTTATACTATACTGTTAATGCCATTTTTACCTACTTCATTTGAAGTTTTCCAAACAAATTAATTGAGTCTCTGCAAAAATGTATGTACGTGCTGTTTAAGATATTTTTTTAAATAACACATTTTTATTTAGCAAAATACTAATATTCAGCTTAAAGTGCAATTTAAAAGCTTAACTTAGGCTAAACTAGGCTAATTATATTAATTATAGAAAAGTAAACAAAGTTATAAAAATTATTGTGATAATTTGGTTGCTCTGTGTGAATATTTTTGCCTTTAAATGCATCTCGTTGATATCTTTACCTTTTAATTAGCTCTGTGACTTTGACATTGGTTAATTCCTGATACTCAATGTTAAAAACATAAAAGGAACCAAAGAAAACACAGAGATGGCTGCAGAGAAATTTAGCTTATCAATGCATTGTCTCACTTTCTACTCAATACTGACCATTCACATACCAAAACTGAACAGTATATATATATATATATATAGCAACAAAGCATCAGAGTACATGGGGTAATAATGGTTGAGCAGTAATTTACCATTTATTATCACAGTAACTATCTGTAATGGGTACATGAAGTAAATTACTGTAATTTATTCTTTGCACTACAAAATTTCATACAAATCCTGCTCCTTTTACAGTAAAATACTGTTTCTTTTTATTACAGCAAAACACTGGCTTTTTTACAGTTATTTACTGCATAATCTACAGTAAGGGTTAACAGTGTACTAAATAAATAAATATACATAGTTACATACTTAAAAAAGCACACAGTTGGTGAGCAGTTTGGAAAGCTGGCTGGAGGGGTACTGTATTTAATTGTATGTACTTTAATTGTTGATGTGACCTTTTGGACCCCTTGGATTCAACACACACCACAGATTATGTTTTAGTGTTCTCTGTGGATCAAATATGAATATGTGATCCATTCAGCTTCTGTAGGCAAAAGTAGGCTGCACAAATGATGCAAGAGGGAGATATGTGCACACACACAACTTGGATACACACACAATGTGGACACATGCGCATATGCTCTTAAATTTACCACAGTATGGTTTTAGTATTTCAATATAAACAATAGAAACTATAACTCTTCTGCCTCCCCTTTGTGCATTACTACAACAGGATTCAGGGCTTCATGTTTTACTGAGCCAGTATTTCTTTACTTGTGCTGTAAAATCAGGTAAAGCTGTGAATCAAAGCAAATGATGCGGTCTGACTGGATAGGAAAGTACAGCAAGAAAAAGCAAAAAGCACAGCAAGATAAAACCATGAATATATAAGCAGACATGCACAAGGGTCTGGGTTTTATAAAGATCAATCCTGAATGCAAAGAAAGATTTTTTTAAAGATTGTCATTATAAATATTTTATTTACACTGTCTCCATTTTTTAACCAACAAATCTGCACAACCTCACTTACAGAACTACAGATTGCTTATGGAATACAGACTATTTTCTGTCAATTGAAGTTCTGTTCTTAATCAGAACAATGTCACATGCTCTCTTTCTCTGATCACCTGAGAGACTATCTGGCCATCTGGACATCAAATGCTCAGCTCTGGCTTTAATACAAAAAATATTCATCAATAAAATTGCAAACCTTAGTTAATATTAACTGTAAGGTCTACATATAAAATATTCCTTCATTCATTCATTCATTTATTCATTCATTCATTCATTCATTCATTCATTCAGAACTTTTATTTTGAAAATATACAATTCAAGACACCAAAATTATCATTATGAATACATTAAAACAACATATGTTTCTGAAAGACATGGGCAGAGAAGCCAACAATTTAACCCAAGGACAAGTAAAACTATCGAAAAGAATATTACCCAAGTAAGAGTAAAAGTAAAAATCATTCTGAACAACAACAAATAAATAAATAAACAAAACGACTAATAGTGTACACTGTTAGACCTTACCGGGGTTTTTTACAGTAGAACACTGGCAACACTGTTGCCAGCCACTCACTGTAAAAGTTTGGT